ACTTTCAAAGCCTTCCTCTTAGCCCTACAGGCCTTGCTCTTGGGTATTTCCACCCCATACTTCTCCTTTGCATTTTCTAATATTGTGTCAACCTTTGTCCTGAGATATGTTCTAATTGGACGCTCACATTCCTTAGCAAACCAATCCGCTGTCACTTTTGTGTTCTCACTATCTGCAGGGCATGTGTGTGGCAGTCTCAATTTCTTAATGGTAAATCTTTTCATTCGTGATTTTAGAAGCTATCGTCATGAAGGGGCATCCATCAACTTTGCAATGAACAATTATCGTGTCTTTGCAACTCCTCCAATATCTATAGTTCCTCAACTGAACAACATGGAATTGTCTTAGAGCTCTTCTGAATTGGTACACATCTTCAAAACATAAGTGCTCACATATCTGCTCATGAGGATTTTCTGCTTCCTCACTATACCAAATCCTATCATCTTTCTTCTTTTGCCTTCTTTTCCTCTTGCCACATAGAACTAAATTCCTTTTGACAGCTCCATCATAATCACTGTCATTAACATTGCTCACTTCATCATCATCATCGTCCCAAGGGACCTAGTCATGAAAAGGAACAATTTCTTCTTCATGATGAGCTCTGCTAGAAGGCCCAACTCTCTTTGGCCTCTTCTTTGGAGGAGAAGGAACGGGCTCTTCATCATCTTCACTTTTATCATCATCTTCCTCTGAATAATTAGAATGCAACCCTAACTTGCCCTTTCTCTAGAGGTTAATGCTCTGTTGTGTCTTGACAACCCCCTTTGTGTCAAATGCATATACAACAGGCGTACCTATGTTATTGATGGGAATCTTCCCCTCACATATTTGTGAAGATCTGTTCACATCAAGTGGAGTTGGGTCGGGCATCTCCTCTAAGTACAATGAATTTAACATATCTGTTGTGCTCAAACTCTTTGAGCATTTACTGAACCATTGCATTGCTATCAAGCAACTCTAAACCAGCTATGTTAGTTCCCTCTTGCTTCACATAATAAATATAATTTGTACTCCCAAAGCCCTCCAAATCCATAATAGCCAAAAGTGTGTTGTATGTGATTTTAGAACTGACCATTATTCTGTCCAAGTTATCCATACCATAGAATTGAAACCCCACTTTCCAAATGTCAGCTTCAACCCTAATTACATTAAAATGGAACAACATTCAGTTAGTCCATAAACAAAAAAAAAGTTAATTCAGAAGCAAAAAATTCAGTTAGTTCAGAAACAAAAAATTCAATACTAAGCTACATTCAGTTAGTTCAGATTCAGTACTAAGATACATTCAGTCTAAAATGTGCAGCAACATTCAGTTAGTTCAGAAAGATTCAGTCCTAAACTACATTCAACATATGGCACCAACATTCAACTGTTTCAGAAAGATTCAGTATCTCCACCAGCTTGCATTGCAAATATGAAACCCTAGTTACAAGGATAGGTTCAGAAAGCTCACGTAGGTGACGATTTTGCAGTGCATAGGTCCTCCACCACCCTGCGGGCGACATCAACCAACGATCATGTTGCCGACGATGAGCGGAACAAGCTGCTGCCGCAGCAATCCTCCTCCTCCTCCTCATCCTCGACGTGGCTGCCCCCTACCACGCCGCCATCCGACCCCATCCGCCCTTCCAATGCGTTCCCCTCGTCGCCAATGGAACCGACCCCGCCTTCTGTAGATTTCGTCGTTGCCATGCCGCCTTAGTGAGGGGGAGGGAGTGCGGAGTGAGAGAGAGAGAGAGAGAGAGAGAGAGAGAGAGAGAGAGAGAGAAGGAGAGCGTGACGGTTCGTTCCGTCCGAGCCGCTTCCGCCAGCCGACCGAACGGCCGCTAGCGGCACGCCGTCCCCGGCTGTCGGCATGCGAGTGATCTGCCATGTCAAAATGCGCTCATTTTTCGGTTCAATTTTTTCCCACTGCCAAAATTTCGGCACGGTGCAAAGTGTCACGTTTTGTAAAGTGGTGATTTTCCAAGAGCTATGACGCTAAAGTGGTGGTTTTTATGCAACTCAAGATGGAAGGACTATGCAATTTCAACTTCTCGTTAGAGTCCCCAATTTTTGTTATTAGGTGAAACAAAGGCAAATGTTCATCCGAACACTGAATACACTATCCCATCTTGAAATAGTTGTAGCTACTTTGTACACAAATCAGTAGTTCTAAGAGCAAATTCGAAGTCAAATATCCACAATTATTAAAACAGACTCTAACTCGGTGTTTTTTTATCAAGTTAATGACTATCCCAAGCATGCAAACCTTAAATTCAGAACTAAATCAATGATAATAAGCCCAAGATATGAAATGACAAACATGCGCCAACCAACTTCCTAACTTTCCAACCCTCCTATGGACGAGGTGATGATCTTCACCCCTCTTCATCCACTGCTCCGGCAGCTAGTGGAGGGGAGTGGCCTCTCCTTTCTCTTCCAGTCGGTCCATAGGTTTAGGATCTTGTCTTCATGTAGTTGCGCCAGTTTGGGTTGGTTGGTGTTGCATCGAATAAGCTGGCTTCGGTCTCTCCTCACCATAACGAAGTTATCTCCAGTGGCGCCGCTAAGCCCATGGCCTCATCTGCTCTTTGTTCGTTTGGAACGGTGGGCTTTATGTTTTCCTGTGTCTGGCGGTTATTGTTTTTCATGGCGGCGCTGACCAGTGGGATATGTTGGTACTGGTTCATGGTTGGTGGCCCGACAGGAGGCAGATCCGGTGTTCTTCCCCAGCAAACACAGTGGGATGCGTGCAGTTTGGATCTAGGTCGGCATGGGGAATGTTCTCGACTGACACGCCACACTGCCAAGTGCATGTTCTACAGGTCTAGTCTTCTAATCTCGATGCCTTCAAGGCTATGGCACCGGTCTAGTTCTGTTTGCCGGTGTTCCATCTTTTCCTATGCGTCTCAACGGTGCTGGCGGTCGATGATGGTCTCATATGTAGTTGGTTGCAAGGATTCCAAGGGACTTTTTTTGTTATGTTCTTTTATTTTAGGTTCTTTTTGCAAAGTATTCTGGACACAAGGCATGTCATGTTCTTTCTATTATTAGTTTCCACATGTATGTGCATTTATTAATAATATGTTTACTCTTTTGATAAAAGAGTAGATTTTATTGGCTTAAGATGAAGCATCAAGTGGATACAAACACAATGGAAACACATCCGACCTTTGCACAACTAAGATGCACACAGCTAAAACAAACGCGCACACACAACTAAATATGTCGGCATATGGAAAAGTCATGCAAGACCAAAGCTATGCTTAACACACAAAAAGAAAAAGAAAACTATGAAGCGATCAAAACAACGATTGACAAACTACATCAATGATCATATCCGCAACAACCATCCCTTGACATCATTAGGATCACGTTTTTCTTAAACATACATCTTCAAAAAGAGAACGACACTCAAGCACCACCATCACCAGATCCAACCACCACTGATCACATTCTAAGTTTTGATCCTGAAGAACAAGTCCGGGCATTGCCTTTACCAAGTGCACGACACAAAACATTGTCATTGTCAGGTATAACTAACTCGGGTCAGACCTAAATTTTTCAGCCCGGAGCTCGAGATCGGGTACTTAAGAAATACAACCAAATTGAAGTCAATCATAGTAGTTGTCGCCACCACTTTTCTATGATCCTAGCAGCTACATGCGTTGGGCTAGAAACCCACCATGCTGTTGCATCACCATACCCTCTGTGTTAAGCCATCATCCATAGATTGCATCGCATGTCGAAGGCAAACTGGCTGGAGTGGGAGCAGCCAAAACTCACAGTGAAGCCTTCGGACTGCATCCCGCGGCCTTGCTAGTACGAGCAATTGGTCGTGTTCACATCTGAAGGAGAAATCCTCGCAAATCAAACACCTGAGCACCTCCCCTGTTCAAGAATTCACCCGATTAAACAGTTAACTTATCGATTAATCCTTATTCATAGGGTCACCGAGTAGCCGATAAAATGATAAATCATTCGATTAATGGATTAACTTGCTGATTAGCCTATTAATCCTCTACTCACCAGCCAACCGAGCAACTATCAGTTAATGATTTCCTCAACAAAGGCTAGCCGAGACGTTCACCGATCTGATCGGATGCGACCACCAGCGAGACATGGAGTGACCAGCCCCGACCCTCACTAGCAGCCGCCGAAGGGAGTGCCACCTACTATGCCTATATTCCGTTTATTGACTAATATAATGTGTGCGGTTCCAAAAATACATGGAGGGAAAAAAAGACAACCTTAGTAGTAGTAGAAATATGTAACAAAGCAGTTGCAAATTTGTATCATGAGAGTTGCCCACAAGTGGTTGTGCACCTCTCTATCCCGTCATACATATGTACTCCCTCCATTTTTATATAGAAGGCCACACACTCAAATTACAGGTACCAAGATAAAAATTAATGTGTGCTTTACAAGCTAATTTGTTTTCTCGTTTACCGGGTTAATTAATAGGGTGCATGCACATTAGAGGAAACTGAGTGGCTGTGAGAGAGGAAGTAGGTGAGTGTGTCATTATCATTCACTACATGCATGCTAGTAATTAAGTCATGGGTTACTAGTATGAGGAAACATCATTAATATTTGCCTCGATTAATGTTGGTGGCCTTAAATAGATGCAAAATGTGTTTTCCATAGTGGCCTTGTATAAAAAATGAAGGGAGTACTACGATTTGATGGACATATAAAAGCAAATCCAATTAGTTAATTAGCAATTTATGGTATTACATTAATAATTAATTAAATGAGAGGAAAGTACAATGAATGCGCACCTATCTTCCCCACACACACATAGACAAACCACACGTTGGAGTAGACGATAAAAGGGCCCCAAAGGCAGATCAGAAGCATCAACTACTTGACAGCGTCAGTGGTCGGAGCAGAGGTAGCTAGCTAGCACAGTGCCAAGCTGAAGCTGTGCAGCGCGCGGCCTGAGGCCGCCTAAGGTTTTTGCCCCTGGTCTCGAGCTGCTAGCTCTACATATACGTCTCGCGGTGGGGTTCGTGGCAATGGCCGCCGTCGAGTGCGGCGGTGGGGACTGGCCCTTCTCCGCCGAGGAAGCGTACGCCGATTCCTCTGCGCTGTTGGCGGAGATCGGCTGGGCGGCCGGTTTTGTCGACGACGCCTGCGCCGGGGAGCTGCTTCCGCCGCTGGATCCGCCTCCGGCCACACCAACGGGGTCCATGGAAGGGGCCGGCGCCTCGTCGAGCTCCACCGATGACGGTGCCACGCGGGAGGCTGCGGACGCCGACGGCAGGCCGGCCGCCGCGACAGAGGCAGCGTAAGTAAAGCTGCGGTAGCTTAATTCACCGACGGATCCTCGCCATGTTCATCTCCTCTCTTCCACGCCATGAGCGGTAAAACCGTAATTACCATCGACTTTTCCAAAAAAAAACTTGGTTTAATTTCCTTCTCCTCGATATCTTTCACTTTTCATCTCATTTCGTTATATAATTTCGCTTTTATATTCGTCTTTTTTTGCGAGTACTTTTATATTCGTCTGAATTATTCGTTAATAGCACGTCATCGTTTCCGGGGGCAGTCTGGTAAATTCGATAATAAGGCTGAGAGAGTGTGGTGTTGTGTGGTTAATTTGCATGGAACGTTGCGCCGGGATTCGCGTGCTAAACCTCCCCTTCCCCTCTCATCGCCTTTTTAAGTCCACGATAAGGTTGTTAATTTGGACGTATGCTAGCTAGATTCACGGCCACCACCAGTATACGGAGTATATAGGGGTTTTGGTCTATTGATTGATTGGGATAAGATGGGAACGATTTCTCTGTTGCGCCATGCGTTAATTTGGTCTTCTCTGTACAAATGCGAGCTAACAGCGACCTCCATGTATGCGTGCTTGGATATGGATGCAGGAGCAAGCCGGCGCCGGCGCCAGCCCCGGGGAAGACGATGAAAAAGCAGAAGCGGGCGCGGCACCCACGGTTCGCGTTCATGACCAAGACGGAGATAGACCACCTCGAGGACGGATACCGCTGGAGGAAGTACGGACAGAAGGCCGTCAAGAACAGTCCTTTCCCAAGGTAACCTATTCCTATCGACCGATCCATAGCTTAATTTGTACTCTCTCCATTCAGAATTACTTATCTCAAAAATAGTTGTACTAAAATTAAAATACGTCTAAATACATCCATTTCTGCGACAAGTAATTCCGAACGGAGGAAGTACTACGTACGTACGTCCCGTGAAAAACTTTACACATTATTTTCTTTTGCGAGGAAAAATTCTACACATTATATGCTTCATATAGATGAATGATCTCCATATCCTAGCTGGTCGGCAGAGCTCCTGGTTCTGCCTAAAAATCCATCTCCATATCCTAACTAGCAGCATATTAGATCATGCAAAAAAATGTATAAGATAATTCAGTGTGTATAGGCTATTAAGATACTCCCTCTGTAAATTAATATAAGATCGTTTAGATCGATCAGGGAGTAGTTGAGAGTGAAAGCGTAGGACTTATGTACGTGCATGTGAGTACGTAATAGGGTGCAATACCATACTATAAATTTGGTGTGCATTGAATATGTAAATCATTTGGTAACTAAATTGCCGTTAACTATTACTCCGTTCGTCCGAAAATACTTGTCATCAAAATGGATAAAAAAGGGATGTATCTAGAACTAAAATATGTCTAGATACATCCCCTTTTATTCATCTTGATGACAAGTATTTTCGGACAAAGAAAGTACTAGTAGTGTGTGTATTTCTCCAATACCCATCACTTTGGAACGAACATGACAGTACGTAGTTTCGTCAACTGTGTGCATACATTCTGCTTTAGGATAGTTTTCTTCTGCTGAAAAGACTAACAATACCTTGATGTGCTTAACTTATTTCTGATCAGTTTGCTAAGGAGGTAGTTAAGTTTAGCTCTGATTTTTTTTTTGAGGGGGAAGTTTAGCTCTGAATTAGCTAGTGCACTGCAAGATAGATAGAGAGAGAGATCGAATCCTATGACGTTGTGGGTCGATCCTACTAATTAATTCACTAGGCAAAATTAATGAATGCGCACAGTACTGGTACTACTTTGCACGTAGTACTTGTACGTTTTATACTGATATCATTTTAGAGGAACCCTTGGCATGCATTCGTCATGTTTTTAATTTTTCTTTCTTTTTTTACAGGAGAAAATAATGTATAGTACCTAAGCTGACAATATATATGTAGCTAGGCCCATTTTTCACTTTATCCCGGAAATCACATGATTCATTTCACCATGGATGAATGAAGTGTTGCAATTATATTCTCTTACGTAGGAGCTACTACCGGTGCACCAACAACAAGTGCACAGTGAAGAAGCGCGTGGAGCGCTCCTCTGACGACCCCTCCGTCGTCATCACCACCTACGAGGGCCAGCACTGCCACCACACCGTCACCTTCCCACGCGGCGCCGGCGCCGCCACCCTCGCCAGCCAGATGGCCTTCTCGGCACACCACCACCACCACCTCGTGTACAACGACTTGCCGGCGCTGCACTCGCCGACCACTCAAAACCCACTCTTCAGCGTGCCGGCGATGTCGTCGTCGCTGCTCCAGCCGCTACACTGCAACCGACAGGAGCTACAAGTTGCGAGCTACACAACCCAGGCATCGTCCATCTCGTCGCCGGGGAGTGTTCCCGCCGTCGACAAGGGGCTTCTGGATGACATGGTGCCTCCAGCGATGAGGCACGGATAGATTGACGGTGTCGATCGCCGCTAGCTAGCTTAATTAATTATTAGCTACTTAATTCTGCATGGATGGACCACTGAATTTAATTGGGCAGAGAGAAGAATAGGGTAATTATATAGTATGGTGGTACATAGGTATATATTTTACGATGTGGTTAATTATTTCTTGAACATGTCATTTACTTACTGGTAATTGATTAAATATGCAATGTGTAAGTAGTACTCTACTCCGTACAACATATGTATAATTACTGTATGGTTATACAAAGTAATTATACACACTGCATGTTGATTAAATTATGAGTATATGGCTTGTGCCAACATTGTATATGTATGGTTGATGCAAATTCTAATTAATTATACTAGTCATCAACATGTACACCTATGCGAGCTAGTAGTAACTACTACTCCCTCCTCCCCGCAAAAAAAAAAAGAAAGAAAAAAAACCTACTACTCCCTCCGTCCCGAATTACTTGTCACTTGTCGTAAAAATGGATGCATATAAGTAATTCGGGATGGAGAGAGTAGTATTTAGTTTGGTGAAGTGTATTTAACAAAAAATAGGCAGGATTTTAACCAAATATTTTATCCCAAATTCCATTTTTATACGATCACAAGCTTTCTCAGTATATTGTGTGTTGCCAATGATGTTTAGACCATCAACATACATTGAGATAATATGAAATCATGTTGAGGATTTCTTGATGGGCATGCATGGGTTCTCATCATTCTTAGAGTAACCTTTTGTTATAAGGATCTCATTAAGTCAGTTGTACCAAATATATTCCAACAAATTTAGCCATGGAGTGACTTATAGACTTTACAAAATATATGTTGCGTTTTGCGTTTGGTTTTGAAGTTGAATTCATGTGAAACTTATATATCCAAATCAAGTGACCCACAAGAATATATGGTCACCACATCCATCAACTCCACAGATGGATGATTTCGAGATGCAATTTGGATAAGGTATTGGGAAATGATTCACATATATCTGGAGAATAGGTTTCGGCCATCTGCGTGAAACCTTGTTCTACAAGTCTTGTTATGTGTCTCATCACCTCGTTATTCCCTTTCCTAATTAAAACCCTACTGTTGAAAGACTCCCTATATCTTTTGGTGTACACGTCTTAGCTAGGCTTAACTCAACTTCTGAAAACAACATTTCAAGATGCTTTATATATAAAGCAAATCACCACATCCAACATCATGTCCAAATGTTGGAAATAAAATATAAGTTTGCTAGGGCAACGACACAAACATGCCAAAAAGAAGAATAAAGTAATGCGATACATGATTCCACAGAGCCGCCGTATCCCTAACTAGGAGGCAAAGCACGACGTCGGCTTGCCACACACAGAGTATCAACATACTGCCTAGCCTGTCCATGTCTAGCGGCCTAGAGGGCGGAAGCAGGTGCTGCAAGAGGCTAGAAATTTAAACACGGAGTTAGTGCCACATTGGAAAAGGTCCGCTCGATCGCCATCTTATTATGTGTCATCCAAAGGGTCCATGTCAATGGTGGGAACAACAACCACAAGAGGCGTCTACTGATTATCTTTCATTTGGTTTGTGATGCAGATAGTGCCTTTTCCCCTAGAGACCCTAGGTTTATTGAATACATGAGGGGTGATGCTTAGCAAGGAGATTTCTGCAAAGAACTTGTTATCTCAAAGAGTACCAGTTTTCTAGACCAAATTCCCACAGTTAAATAACAAGACAACAATAAATAAATAGGCTAGGGATAAAGGTTTCACATGCAGTCTTGTATTTGCAATCGAGGATCTTATCTAGATAAACATCATGGCACTCGTAAACACCGTTACATATGTGTAGTCAATGTAGTGTGGTCAAATGCATCCAAATAACCCCATGACCAACCAGCTATCCCCATATCGAGGTTCTATTGTTCAAACCAAGGCCCTATTTGACTCGCGGGGTTACCTCGGTTATTACAGATTTAACCAGACCAACACATTGGATGTGGCTGCACAGTATCTACCCTAGAGCCTTGGTTCTAGATACCATACTAATCTTACTTTGCAATTATTTGTCATTAGTAGGTAAATAAAAATGATTATTTCAAAATTATGTGAAATTACCTGGTTTAAAAATTAGTAAAATGAGTGTAAAATTCACTCATCAACCTCCCCAAGCTTAAATCTTCATCATGCTCAAGCAAGAAACAAGACCATAAGGAAGTCTGTGCTGAAACCAAAATAATGAAAAGGTTTTATGGTCCGTATGCCTCGATAGTCCATCGGTTTCTTCACCTGAAAACTTAGCATAGTTGTAACAGTGGCAATGGTTGCTATGCAAGTTCGTTAGGCTAAGACGATGGAAAAATGTATTAACTTAGATAAAGTAGTCAACTACACTAGCACAGAAACGGGCTTTGGCGGCGGTTTCCATACATGGGCCGCCGACAGTTCCTCTTTCGCCTCAAAGTTTGTGTCGCTAATACTCGCGAGGCGCGTAAGCGGTTTCCGAAACTGCATATGCCATTCGCAAAGCGTAGCTGGTTCCTTCATGGAGAAACCGCCTCTAATGCTTTTTCCATGAAGGTGGTTTGTTATTTCCAGACTGCGGTACTTTACAACATGGAGGTGGTTTCTCTTTTCGAACCAACTCATTAATGATCAGAGCATTTGTTTGAAATAGTTGTTGACTGCTATAGCCACTAGCATGCAAATAAGTCTCTTATTTGGCAGCCAATACTCGTACAACATCACATACAACTCAAGAATCATACCACTTCACATACAACTCAAGCATCATATCGCATCACATACAACTCAAGCATCAAATCACATGACATCATATAAAACTCATTGAAAAATATCAAGTAACACAGTTGAAATAAAACAAGTATATGACATGAAACCTGAAGATCATAAAGAGTTTTTCAGTGTACAAACAACAATATGATGTAGTAATAATGAAAGAATGTATTACGAGTTACACTAGTAGGGAAACCCCTTATAGGGTTTTGTTATTTGGCGCGTCCATGTTGCTGGTAACTGGGTAAAATAGTTAGCAGCATGCACTAGAAAATGGGGCACTGCTAATAACAACTTACTAGCAACGTATGGGCTAACGTGCACGCTGCTAGTTAGGAAGACCCGAAAACGGACCAGGCAGAAATATCTAGTTTTACAAGTTCTTTCATCTTGTCTCAGTTTGCATATATGTGATCATGCTATGAAAATTGACATATTGATGTGATCATTTGTATTGCTTGCTATAGCCTAAGTCACAATACATGTTTAAGTTTTTCTGCCTTACTAGTATAATCTGATTTATATCTTACTGGTAATTGGTGTGTGGACCTTTTCCTTTTTATATGATAGCTAATGCTTATTTTCATTGGAAGTGAGTTGCTAACATTTCCTTCATTTTTTCTATGTACATATAACTCTTTTCATTAAAGAAAGAACCTGGACAACAAGAAAGGAAGGAAGACAGAGACAACTAAAGGTATTAATCCAAATTCTTACTTTACGTATGCAAGACATATGCCAAGCAATCACCTCATCAAGTCTAAGCTACCACACTATTGGTATGTCTATTGGCTGGATGCAAAGAAACTTTCACAGCTTGTCATGTACTCATTATATTGCATCGATTGAATTCTATTTGTTTTGTTCTAGGGTATATGTTTGGTGGCGGCGATGAATGATACGTCTCCAATGTATCTATAATTTTGGATTGTTTTATGCTATTATATTACCAATCTTATATGCTCTATACATCATTTATATCATTTTTTTGGGACTAATCTATTAACTCAGTGACAAGTGCATGTTGTTATTTTCTACATCTTTTTGGTTTTTTTACAGAAAATCCATACCAAACGGAGCCCAAACACGATGAAACATTTTGATGATTTTTTCTGGACCAAAAGAAGCCCATGAAGCTTTAGGGGGAGTCCAGAAGCCAGTGAGGAGACATCAAGGCAACACGGTGCGCCCAGGGGGGTAGGCGCGTCGCGGCCCCTCATCGATCCGCCTGACCTAATTCCAGCGCTATAAATTGTCAAATATTTCAAAAACCCCAGAGCAAGACCCGAAACAATTATTCCACCGCCGCAAGTATCTATTCTTTCGCGGTCCCATCTGGTGGCCTCCGCTGGTACTCTGCCGGAGGGGAAATCAATCACGGAGAGCCTCTACATCAACCTTGATGCACCTCTGATGATGTGTGAGTACTTCCCTGCAGGACCTATGGGTCCATAGCAGTAGCAAGATCTCTCTCTCTCTCTGATATTCAATACAATGCTCTCTTCGGAGTTCTATTCAATGTAATCTTCTTTTGCGACGTGTTTGTTGGGATCCGATGAATTGTGGGTTTATGATCAAAATATTCATTGAAAGTAGTTGAGTTATTTTTAAATTTATTATGTGTGATTATTATATCTATGTAATGCTTTCATATCTATGAGTTTCCTTTGGCCAAGTTGATGATTAGATCTTTGGTGGAAGTGGCGCATAGTAGTAGGTTCAATCTTGCGGTGTCCTCACTCTATGGCATGAGGGGTAGCTGAAAGTGCATTATATCGACTAGAGGGGTGTGTGAATAGGAGATTTTTACAAATTCGTCACTGAGGAAATTCAACTTGAGGAATTTGCTAAGCGACGAAATACAGGCAGCGGAATAAGTACTCAGGTCGTTGCATAACAAGACAGAAACAAAGCCATCATGATGAAATGAAACGTACATAGAGCACGGGTAGCGTGTAACGGGATAAGCAGGTTGAAGATAAGATGACTGAAGAAATAGGATTGAGGAAATTGATAAAGTCTTCAGTCAAATTCTTCAAACAGTAACGATAAAGTTCATCAACACATGTATGAGGAAATGAAAGGGTTGAGGAAATAGAACCAGTAGCTTGGTGAAGACAGTGATTTGGTAGACCAGTTCCAACTGATGTGATAGTTGTACGTCTGGTTGGAGCGGCTAGGTATTTAAACCTAAGGACACACAGTCCCAGACACACAGTCCTCACCG